TTTAATATGTTATCTTGTTAAATATTATTTTTCTGATTAATAAAAAAAAAAATATGCAATAAATTTTGAATTTTGCCAAAGTATGGAAAAATATTCAATAACTTTTAAATATGCAGAAATATGCAAAAAAAAATGTCTCTATTACTTTAAAATTATAATAATTCGTGGAGATAACTGACAAAAATCCAGAAATATTAAAAGGAAAAAAATATGCAATTCGTAAAAATAGAAATCCGTGCTCTAGATATCACTAATTTTTATCGTTATTAAATATTGAGTATTTACACAATAATCTATAAGAACGGTAATATTGTTAGTGACATTGGCATGATACGAAAATGACTACGGTGGATACCGTGATTCTGAATTTAATTTAAATTTCCATTAAAAAGTTGGCACTTTTTCATTTATAACTTAATTTCTAAACGTACGATTTTTAACAAAAGCACGTTCTACACAATATTTCTGATGTTTTTGAATTTACTAGGAGTTAATTGATACATTAGAAAATTAGTTAGGTCGTATAACAAATTTACCTGTATTTTACACAGTAAAAAATAGAAAACTTCGATATACTATACACACACAGTCATGCAGTAATTTTTTTTTTTTACTTAGATCACGCCACGACTGCCGCTCCGGATCATTATAATATTATGTTGTACTTTAATATAATTTAAGCAATATTTATATTTTCTAGTGTATAATGATAATATGTACCTTTGAAATGTAAATCATACGATTACTAGTGTCTAGAAGGGATGAGCAGGTTATATTATTTTGTTGAACCCTTGTAGGATTTTTATCCTATTATAATTATTATAATGTCCGATTGTCCAGTATATTACCGAGGAGATCCACGATCTATAACCGTGGTACATACCTATACTCTATAGGTATCAATATAAGAGCTATTTGTAAGGTTTAATATAATATTGACGCGTTCCTTCGTAATGCCTCGCTGTGGCTTCTCAAACAAACCGTCAATCGACGACGGACGACGCCGGCGCGCGACACCCTCGCCTGGAACCGTCGGCCGGCCGTTCGGCGACCCGGCTAGTACAAGTCAGTTTTTAACGACCCCCAAGACACGGACCACATACGTCCCCGCGAGGTGTACACCCATCAGGGGGTCTATTTTGTACGCCATACGAATGTAGTTCGTATACGAAAATTGCACATTTTTCGTATGAAATTCCAATTCGGTATTTTGTAACTACTTTCGTATACGAAAACTTATCGTACGTAGGGACTGACTCCCGTTCATACGTAAATTTTACGTATGGTTCACGAAAATATTATTTTGTACATTGTCCGTACGACGAAATCGCTCGTATGTACGACTGGTTTTAGTATGATTACTACGTATGGTAGTAGGGTATGTGAAAGCTGGTTTTCCTATAGATACTACAACAAAATAAATATTATCTCAATTCAATTAATTAATATCATAGCTGCATAATCATTTGCATCGCTGTAGATTTTTAAAAACGGTGTTTTTATCAATTTAGAATTATTGCGACATAATATTCTACAATTAGTGACATTCTTCATTTATTGACGAAATCGATGACTTTGACTTGATTGAAAATCTAGCCGCTATAGAAGCGTTAGAAATTGTCGAAGAATATGCTGCCGAATTCCATAGACAAGTGTATAGGTACCTACTAATAGAAACCCTTTTGAAGGTAAGTTCTTACAATTCAAATTTTATTCAGTATCATCCATGATATCATGATATAAAGTTTGAAAATATAGTCGTGGGTATTGGAATTATAAGTGAATTTAATGTTTTAAAATTATATAGAATTTTCCGAAAGGAAATTTATTATGACGTATCGACTATCAAAAAATTTAATGAAACGTGTCATTAATACGGTATATCCTTACATGGAACCGTCAGCCACATCAAGAGGCCTAACAATTGAACGAAAAGTAACTAACGAATAGTATTTTTATTGGTTTCCTCAAACACCTCACCCACGCGGCATGCACCAGGTCGGCAGAAACTGGCTCCCCGGCGGGGAATCGAACCTCGGTCTTCCGGGGTTACTTACCACTATACCAATAACTGGTAATGAAATTACATGTATCACCTAAATCCTATTTAAATAATGAATATACGATTTGTATGTGTTATTATATTATAATAGGATTTCAAATTCAACTTGTCGGGTGTTGTAAAAAAAAATTAATGATTTTTAATATTGTTAAAAAAATCTATTATTATTGTATGTTGTTTCGAACTATTTATAATATTTATCTTTATCAGCTATAGAACTCTCAATAGTTCAATAATTTCGTGTGATATTTATTATTCAAATTTAAATATCATATTATTGATAATACCTTACTAGGGGTAATGGAATTTAGGTTTTCTGATAATTGTTTTCTTTTTATATTAATGCTATTCTGTTGTGTGCCTATAATAATTAGTATTGAAAGTATTGTTACGAACACTTAAAACAATACTAATAATACCATAATTAATTACGCCTAGGTATGTATTATATTAGTGTAGGTATATAAGACTTTTAATGTAGGTAAATGCTGAAATCTATACATTATGTAAGTGATTCAATTATCGGAGTGGCAAAAGTGACATTTTACAGGGGCTAATATTATAATAATTATATTGCATTATTAATTCACCCACCCTGCAGTTACAAATCTATATATATAAAAATAAGTGTACATTTTGAATAAATCTTATAGCTCAAGATCCACTGTACCGATTTCGATAAAAATTTCAGGGCATATTAAGATTGATATGTAGATGGTTTCTGTGAAGTTTGTACGATGTGCGATAAATGGTTCCGGAGTTATGGCCTCATAAGTGCACACCTGGCGACATGACCAAAAACAACAACAAAATGTATGAAAAATGAAAAAAACGTCTGTTGACATGACAACCACAATTCTATTTTCTAGATAAATATTAATTGGTTTGAGATTAAACGAGATTGATTTTCATTCAATTTCAATTGTATGGATTTAGGCGTTAAAAAATGCCACGACCAAAACTACAAAATATTGGGTCAACTCTGAAACTAGGTACTTATCAGATCTTCTTGATTTTTTTTAAACGAAAGAGTATATCACAGAGAAGGTTATTATGAAACAAAATTTTATGAAAATCCACCGGAAAAGTAGGAAATATGGATGTCAAAAATACAACAGAGATGCAACAGGTTAGGTTAGGATTTTGTATTAATTGATTATATTCATCCACCATAGGTAGAATACGACAAACTTGCTATAACTTTGATACTTTAGAGTTAAATCATACACTTACATACAAACCAGGGGTCCGCGATCTACCGAAGGTAGATTGCCTACCTGATAATATACTGCTACGAATCGGACTTTTTATTCCGGGCAACGGAAAAGTTAAGGTAAATTTTAAACACCATACAACGAATATTAAATAACGAATTGAACAAAGTTTGAGTCATATAGAGTTGGTACATATTTTAAGGGGCAACGAAGTGCACGGGTTCAGCTTGTAACTCTATAAAGACATTAACTGTCATATTCATTTTAACTTACTGTCCTAGTTATAATACCTAATGTTAGTTATTACCCACCCACTACCCCTTGAAAAATGCCACTTAGACACCACACTGCTCAAAATTACACCGGACAAATTGTAAGTTCAAAATCTCAATTTGTAAGTAATTGTAACTTGAATTTTTGAATTTGTTAGTTCTTTGATTTGATGAAATTACCAAAATTAACCTGACGGGCGAACTTCACACTAGCCCCCCCCCCACTCTTACCAAATTACAACCAGACAAATTGTAAGTTGTGTAGCTTAATTTGTAAGTAAATGTAAGTGGGTTTTTGGAATTTGTAAGTTACTCGGAGCAAAGTTGTGTCCGAAAAAAACTTAGTAGGGTGCTATATTCACAATAGCCCCCTCCCACTCTTACCAAATTACTTAGAACAAATTTTAAGTTGTATACATTTAAATACTGGATTCAGGGTTAAATTTTCCAATCGGTTAATTTTATTTCAAACACATTATTATACCTGGTTACCGTGACGATTTTTCAGTTAACATAAAACATTATAATAACATAACATGTACCAAGGCGCCTTCACAGCTCCCCGTGAAACGTGATATATTCTAGAACTGTGATTGGTTGAACCATGTGGTTATCTAATGGTTAACCATCATTTTTTTTCTTAATACCTTATCTATACCGCTTATACCGTATAGTTGAGTTCAATCCTACTCAGAGCGTGTGTTTACCGTATGGTTGACAGTCGTGGTTAAGAATATTTTTACGGGAACAAATATGAAAATGAAGCTTGTATATATTTTCAGTGAAAATATGATATTATTATACAAATAAAATTTGTGTATTAATTATTTAGATTAAAGTCGATACAGTAAAACCTATATTTATATATGTTTTGTAGACTGTTGAAATTATAAATTTTTGTGAGATTTTAAATAGGTATTTACTTTTTGTCTCATATTTTTATCAAGACCTGTATAGTACCCATATGTGTCGAGAAACAAATATGTTTATATTTACAATCAATATGCTGATATTTACGATCGAAATTATGATATTTATGACAACTAAAAAAATATAATATTTATCATAATATGGTTACATCTAATATGATTTTTATTTGAAAAATCTGTTGAAATGTACAGAATTACACATGTGAGAAAAGAAAGCAATATATATCGGAAATAATAAAAAGATTTGAATTATGATAAGTGACTTTATTACAAAAACAATTTAATATCCTTAGAGATATTTTACAAAATAAAAAAAAAAACAAAACAAAATAATATCTAAAAAGCTATTTTACAAAAAAAATAATAAACTAATTGATATCTATATATTTCACAAAATAAAAATAAATTAACCTTAACATTTATAAAATTAAATATAATTTACAAATATATTATATTTATGTATAAAATTAACAATCGAGCTTAAAATGTCCATGAGCGTAGGTATGTATTCTATCGGCCTGTGCTATCCGCTTATCATCTTGTCGGTTGAAGCATAATTTTTCGGATTTGATTGTTCGTATCTTATGGTTGAATGATCTGAAGGATATATTTTCCCTGGTATACAGTTTAGAGTTCCCTTTTTTTTGTCGTCGGTGAAAAGGCAATCGAAATGATCATTGAAAGTCATGTGATTTTTAACTACATGCCCTCGGACGCCTTTTGCCTTAATTTTCTCCTTGTCGTTCAAAATGTAAGCGTATGACTTTGCTCTAATCGCAATAAATTTGGTAATTGGCTGTCCCTTTGCCTCATCGGAAAACAATCCTGGAATTTTCTTTCGTTCGGCAATGTAGCATGGATGGTCTATCGGTAAATCTGAAGTATCCATCCGGCTAAGTAAGTTTGAATTGCACTTCAAATCTTTGTAAAAATCGTCAGTCTTAACATGATATATCAGTGAATCTAGAAAAAAATAAAATAAATATAATGTTTGTAATAGAAAAATTGAATAATAATTATTTACCTGTATCTGTATACATGAGGTTGATTTTATTACCATAATGCGCCTTCATTACATTGATATGGTAATCGTACATCATGGTTTTACTGATGTCCAATACTGCGAAACCTAAAAAAAATAAATAAAAATGATAAATAGGTATTAAAAATATGAAATTTTTTTTTTTTATGCAAGTAAAATTGGTACCTATATATATTGGCTTGTTAAACATGATAATTTTGTTTTCCAATGAGACAGCAGCAAGATTTTCACTGTATGTCGTACAATGTTTAAATGTTTGCTTGTTGATGAGTTTTTGTAATCTTTGTGGACATGAAACTAGCTCCATCTTAAAACGTTTTCTTAAAGATTCCATGGTTTTCCCAAAACGGCATTGTTTAAGAGTTTGAAGAAATCCTTTTTGAATTCATTCTTCGCGTTTTTTCTCATTTCGGTGTTTAATTTAATGTATTTTGCAAGCCAATCCGATTGTTTGAACTCTAAAACTCTTAGTAGTTTACTCTAAAATCAGTAGACTACTGATTCGAGTAAAGGTTTTACCACATATACTACACGGGAACATGATTATGTTTGATGAAAAACTGAAGAACACTGTCTAGTCGAACTCACAAAACAAGTCTTTACCTTTCAACTAATAGATGGGTAATGAAATATATAAAATATATTGTACTTTAAATAACAGTGTGAAATAGTTTTATCTAAGCGAATTATTAACGTATGCGCTAATATCAGAACTAGTGGTGAAAAAATGAACTACGGTGTTCATTAAAGCAAAATAAATAATTTGATTTTTATAAAACTTGTAAAATATTTGTATACACTTTAAAAACACTTAATAACTCTGAAATAACTCGACTTGACACTTGAACGGTAGTAAAACGGACTGATCTCATATTGCTCTGTGTACATTATGGCTGGAATTCATCGACAATACTCGGACGTTTCACTACAGGCTTGTACAGGCCTGTAGTCGGATGATGTTGTTATGGTGCGAGGGCGGGTGGTGGGGTGTAAAATATAATTTAGGCTGGTACTCTGTTGGATTGGAATGTTTTATTGTTATAACTGTGACTATGTGTGAGTTTGTGTGTGTGTGTGTGTGTGTGTGTGTGTGTGTGTGATACATTTCGATGTATAAAGTATGCTTTAGCGAGATGCTTTAGGTTCGAATGGGATTATAATCTGAAAATGGTATAATATTTTTAGATATGTGTTATGTTGTTACCTTATATGATATTATGAGCATGTATGTATGTATGATATAGTCGATACAATGTACATCAGAATATTATATTTTTATTTTTTAAAAGTGTAGGGAGGTAATGTATTTGATTATTAAGGGGTAAAATATATGTCGGGCAAGTGTTCGATATAGACGATACAAATGTGAATTAGAAGATTATATATATTTTTTAAAGGGTAGCGAGTTAATGTATTTGAAGGGGAAGGGGTAAAATATATGTCGGTCACGTGTAGGATGGGGTGACGTGTGACGAGTTTATGTGTGTTGCGGGTTGCCTATATTGAGTAATTAATGCAAGTTTGAGCGGTGCGTGTACTTCGAATTGCCTATACAGAGCAGTCTATGATTTTACATGTAAAATTTAAGGGGGCGCGGGCGGTGCTCCAGAACCTACATAATTATCTTACTTTGGAACCCACCACGAGTGTTCAAAATCAAGTAACTTCTTCGGAAGAATTAATAGAGATTAATGATTCGTACAATTTAAATACGACTGTGCCGTAAGTATGCAAATTAAATAATATTTTTATTTGGTTAATCTCGTTTGGGGATTCGGCAATGCATATTTTTAAATTTTCACACTCCAATTTAAACAACGTAGTTTCGATGGTACACCACCTAATATTGATTGTACATCGACTCCTAATCTTGATGATACTGATATATATTTAAATACAATACAATACGAGGATGAAAGAAATGTAGCTGACTCTTTTGACAGCCCTACGCGGCTATTTAGTTCGCGGTACCTATACACCTATATTTAAAACATTTTAACTACAAATTACAATACTTATTGATAAATGATAATATTGATCATACATTTTAATGTTTGTATAGTGATACTGTAACTGATGATATTGATGCTCATAATTTAAGCGTAGTTTCAAACACTACATCTGACACAATCGTTTCCGAGTATGTATAACCTATTTTTGGTTTTGCCCATCTAACTTACTTATAAGTTATAATATATATATTTATATTTAGGAAATTAGTATATTTGGCAGCAAGTCCAGGTATAATTATTTATTAAATTATAAATATATTTTTTTGTAGTTATTTAAATATTATTTTTTTAATTAGATGGTCTAGTTGGAGAAAATGCCATAATAGAAATTAAGTGTCCTTACAATGCCTAATTGTAGAACATTGTTCAGAAAGCCTAATCGAAGCTTTCAACAATAAATTTGTAAGTGATGGATAATATGATTTACAATAATGTTTATTTTATTCTAAAATATATATATTTAAAAAAATCGGTTAGGTCCAAAACTGGTTTTGCGTAAAAATTACGAAAATTATGTTTATAACACATGTTACAGCTACCAAATTGGATAATGAAAGATTCTTCGATCATAGCAAAACGAAATAGTAATTATTATTTTCAAGTTATTGGACAACTGCATATAACTAAACGTGAACTATGTTATTTGGTAGTATACACCGAAAAGTGGACCTCGGTAGAAAAAATTTATTATGATCATACATTTTGGATACAAAATATTGTCTGAAAAATTAATATCGTAAGTAGTTTAAAGTACCAATATCAGTCCTACTAATTTAATTGATTATGACATGAATTTGTATTTTAGGTTTTATTTAAATTGTCTTTTGCCTGAACTCGTAGATCTCTTATATGGCAAAAGATTGTTAATAAGTGATATCAGGGATCCGGATGACATTTTAGAAAAAAAGCAAGAAAGATTTAAAATAGTATCCTTGAAAAAAATTAAAAAATCTTAATATTATTATGAAAGCGGTTTGGTTTTAATATTTATTTAAAATGTAAAGCAATGTATGATTAGTTATAATAAAAACTGTCCTTTACAATTAATTATATGTGGTATAGGCATATTATACAACATTATACGTAAAATATACTCAACACATTTACCTACAAGAAAACTAATATTTAGATAGGTATTTGGAAATATTAATTAATTTGAGGGGTTAGGTATTTAGGTTATTCATTATTATTATTTACCTAATAGTAAATAATACTATATTAATAATTAATATATTATATATCATGAAGTCGGTATCTAATAAGCAGGGCTGTGAATTTAATGCACCAAAAAACTATTAAATATGCATGCAAATATGCACTAAAAAATGTCAAAATATGCATGAAAATATGCACTAAAAAATATCAAAATATGCACTAAAAATATCAAAACATGCATAAAAATATGCTATTAAAATTTCGTAAAATATGTACTAATTTTTCAAAAATATACAAAAAACAACAAAAATTATTTTTTTAAGTACTAAATATAATTGTTAACAATTTATGGGTATTAGTCATATTTATATAAATTTTAATTAATTGCGATCTTCATCATCGTCATTTACGGCATCTATATAAAAAAAATAAATATAAATATAAATATAAATATAAATTTAATATTTATTAATTTATTATTTTACCTCTAAAGTAATTATTGCATTGTACGATTAATGATTTTTTGAGATTTTCAAACTTGAAAGACCTCCTGTTTGGTGCCAATATATTCTTATATAAAGAAAACGATCGTTCTACATCTGCGGATGTTATTGGTGCAAACTTAAAATACGCCATGTCGCTACTGGTTAAATCTTCTGGTATATCCAAATCACCTACATTCTCTTCTTCGCCAGTTAATATTTTTGAAATATTAGAAACAATTTGAAATCCTTTGTTTTTGTTGAGAACTGTTTGTAATTTTTTATTAATATCAATTCCAGCGGTACCTGTTAATTGACTAAACTTTGATGAAATATCTTGTATGATTGCAATACCTTCAGATAAGGGTATACCTTGTTTTTGTAGACGAGTTATAGCTATGGGAAGACATGCAAAATTCGAATGTATAAAAGTCAAGTTTCCTTTCATTTGAGGAATTTTAAAATATTTTTGAGCATTTTTTATGGAAAGCGCATCATTCTCATCAAAACTTTCAATTATGTTTTTTACAGTTTGAAAGTTTTCACTATAATATACCTAATACGGCAGAAATCCACGTACCCCAACGTGTCAGAATAGGTTCAGGAGGTAGTGATATATTTGGTGCATCAGTATGAAATTTTTGAACACGATAAGGCGCCTTTTTGAATACTCGTTTAACATTTGCTACTAGTTTATCAACTTTTGGAAATTGAATACGTATTTGTTCAGCGACTCTATGTAATCCATGGGAAGTACAAGTTACGTGAACCATTTTTGTATACAACACTTTTAATGTATCGCCAGCCTTCACCATATAAGGCGCAGCATCACTTAAAAACAGCAATACATCGTTTCGTCTTATTCCGTCAGGCCATAATAAATAAAGTGAATTTTCAAATACGGAACATATTGTACTATGATTTGTTTTCTGTAATTGTTCGAGGTTAAATAAAAAAATTTCACCTGGACGATCGAGGAGTAATGTACCGATAATAACTGAAGCAATAAAGCGGCCCTCGGCATCTGTTGTCTCATCTATTGAGACCCAAATTTTCTTTCCCGCTACTTTTTGTCTTATTTCGTTTAAAACTTCCTGGTAACAATGGTCAACATTAACTTTGCGTAATGTTGTTTGATCTGGAATATTTTGTCCCGTATATTTTATCAAAAATTGTTTGAAATATGTATTACTTAATTTATTTAACGGGATGTTAGCACTAAGCATGGCTTTACATAAATCATTATTAAATGACGATTTAGATGACGAATCTTTTGAGATAAGTTGCTGAGTTTTTTTTTTGTTTTCTGTACGATTAACTCCTCTTTGGTGTTTTTCAGTGGCTATGTGTTGTGTTACAGAAAAACGTTTATCACTTGCAATTTTAATATTGCATACTGTACAAAATAA